AAAGATATTAAATGCATCACTTACATCTCCAAGCCATAAAGAGTGATACAATATCTATTATTATAGTATGCCAATTTACTACTATATTTACTACTACATTTGTCTAACATCTGTTTAATTTGCAGATTCAGATTTTATACAAAACATCTGATGGTCATATTTTTTCTGTGATTGATTTAATACGAAAAACGCGTATGAAGTAACTAGTTCCGCTTTTCCAGCTACAACATTAAAATACTACTTTCATAGTAACACATCAGTAATATTAACCAAATAATACAATATCATGGTGTCACTTTCTGAAAAGCCACTATTTATAAAGAGTATATAAGTTGTAATTGATTGATTTATTAATGTTAATGTCATACTGGAGGAGGATTTTCCACAACCTAAAAGTTGTTCTTATAATTACTTATAACTGATCTCTAAAGCATTACTACATGATCCATTAACCATTATCAGAAAGAGTTTAATGTATGAGCACTTTTATGTTTGATACTGGTGCAAGACAGAGTGAATTCATTCAATGTGACTGTGACTGTGATTGTACTGTACTGTATCGTACTTTGTACCAAGAATTAAATGTTTTGTTTTAGTAGAAAATATTGGTACATTACTAGCATCATCCAGTCAGGGGAACAGTTCATGCTAAAGTGTTAGCAAACAGTCAACTACTTACACTTTCATCAGTGAACCACTGAAGACATGTTTCTGTCCTCTTGATGGAAGTAAGCTCAATAGTCACTTGCAGTTAAATTCTGTATTACTGTTTATTTGGATATTTATATTGTTGCAATCACACAATAAGTATCCTTACAAAAAAAACCCCACCACTCTTGTAACACAGTTTTGGCAAACTTTGATCAAACAGGATAATTTGTATGTATCTGCATATGCATTCAGGTGGCAGTTTTGGGAACACACTGGTTTGTGCATGCAAATATTAGTGTGTTAAGTAATCCATAAATCCTGCATGATCAGCACTGCATGCTCAACGAGAGAATGAGATACTGCATCCCAGAGCAGCTGCCAGTATGATAGATTAAATTCATTCACACGACTGAGTAACCTTTATTGATGCTGCTGGCACGGATTTACCAGCACTGCCTGCATGGTTTATATTTAACAGCAGTGGCTCTATAAAGGTGTTGATCATGTCCCAAAAAGTGGTGCTGTAATTGATTTCACAGGGCAGCAGAGGGCACAAGAGACTGAATCAATTCCTGGTTCATTCTTGTTCAGTGCTGGAAAATAGATTTCTCAAAGTATCACAAATGCTTTAATAGTCTGTAAATCTATAGATCAGAACAATATGATGTCCTGATGTCCTCACTGACACTCCACAAGAAACGATTCAGCAGGTGAAACAATTCCCATTTTAGTTTGGCCTGCAATCAGAAAAACATTTCATAACTGACATCACTGCTTAAGACTTTAAAAAAAATTCCAAGGCCTTTTATAGAAGAAACTTGACTCAATGCTTTTTAAAGGATGAGTTCACAATTTGTCAAATCTGTCTTAATTCAGTAGTCAGGTGCCCATATTTCTTTAGAGAGAACTTTATAATAAAAAGACTAACTTTGACAGATACCACATTGATCTGTCTAACTCAGACTGCTGAAGCTTCATACTCTATTACAGATGCTTCAGATGAACTTTGAAAGAACAAAAGGTTTCTGACCTCGAACAGGAGAAATAATCACAACACACACACACACACANTGTCTCTACAGTCCACATGAGGATCTCCCTCAGATCTGGGGATCAACTTTCACTGACCAGCCTGACTTCAACCAAATCAATTAGTTTCTCATCTGTGTATTCACCCATCAGGTTTATATTTCCTCTATGATAACATCATAGAAAACTTTATGGAGTTTGGGTCCAGCGCCAGTTTGTGGTACTTGTTTCTGATTGAATGAGCCTGGCTGCATACAAATAGATATATGCCACCTCTCTCTCTCTCTCTCTCTCTCTATATATATATATATATGTTTTTTTCAGTTTAAGTTTAATGCTTTGAAGTGGGTGGCTAAGGTAAAACATTTGCTTTCTAAAAAAGAAGTTATGGCTGTATATAAGTATTAAGCGACACCTGCAGGCTACAGCTCTGTACAACAACCAGACTGTAGTAATGAGCTCTACATTATAGACTTTTAAGAAAACAAATCTGTAAATCATTAAGGAGATTATTATTGGGTGTAAGATGAAACCACAAGTGGCATCAGGATGTGATTGGCTGCACAGTAACAAAAACAACCAGTTAACAAGGGATTTATAGGTGACCACTTTAATATTTTCACCCAAAACAAACTTTTTATATTGAATTCACAAGAACGTGCAAAGAAAGAAAAAAGTATAATTTATGAGGTCTAGAGATATCTGTTCTGTAATTTTCCCTCTTATCAACAATATAAATATAACATTAGTACAAAAATGTTTTTACACATATTTAAATTATGATATAAAAATTAAATTAAACCAAATTAATTTAGTTAAAGGATTAAAAATAAAGGAGATATTGGCTTGCAGTTAAATTCGGTATTACTGTATATGTATATGAAGTAACTAGTTCCGCTTTTCCAGCTACAACATTAAAATACTAGTCAGGGGAACAGTTCATGCTAAAGTGTTAGCAAACAGTCAACTACTTACACTTTCATCAGTGAACCACTGAAGACATGTTTCTGTCCTCTTGATGGAAGTAAGCTCAATAGTCACTTGCAGTTAAATTCTGTATTACTGTTTATTTGGATATTTATATTGTTGCAATCACACAATAAGTATCCTTACAAAAAAAACCCCACCACTCTTGTAACACAGTTTTGGCAAACTTTGATCAAACAGGATAATTTGTATGTATCTGCATATGCATTCAGGTGGCAGTTTTGGGAACACACTGGTTTGTGCATGCAAATATTAGTGTGTTAAGTAATCCATAAATCCTGCATGATCAGCACTGCATGCTCAACGAGAGAATGAGATACTGCATCCCAGAGCAGCTGCCAGTATGATAGATTAAATTCATTCACACGACTGAGTAACCTTTATTGATGCTGCTGGCACGGATTTACCAGCACTGCCTGCATGGTTTATATTTAACAGCAGTGGCTCTATAAAGGTGTTGATCATGTCCCAAAAAGTGGTGCTGTAATTGATTTCACAGGGCAGCAGAGGGCACAAGAGACTTAATCAATTCCTGGTTCATTCTTGTTCAGTGCTGGAAAATAGATTTCTCAAAGTATCACAAATGCTTTAATAGTCTGTAAATCTATAGATCAGAACAATATGATGTCCTGATGTCCTCACTGACACTCCACAAGAAACGATTCAGCAGGTGAAACAATTCCCATTTTAGTTTGGCCTGCAATCAGAAAAACATTTCATAACTGACATCACTGCTTAAGACTTTAAAAAAAATTCCAAGGCCTTTTATAGAAGAAACTTGACTCAATGCTTTTTAAAGGATGAGTTCACAATTTGTCAAATCTGTCTTAATTCAGTAGTCAGGTGCCCATATTTCTTTAGAGAGAACTTTATAATAAAAAGACTAACTTTGACAGATACCACATTGATCTGTCTAACTCAGACTGCTGAAGCTTCATACTCTATTACAGATGCTTCAGATGAACTTTGAAAGAACAAAAGGTTTCTGACCTCGAACAGGAGAAATAATCACAACACACACACACACACACACGGCTCCTAATGTTCATATGGGCACCTGAGTTTTGTTTAAAGGCAGTCTTGAAAAATTGTTAAGCTATCCTTTAAGACTTGTTTAGACCTGTACCAGAGACCCTGTTAAAACATCACAAAATACATCCTATGATATTTGTGCATTATGTTTGAGAGATCAATC